AATGACCGCAAAGAAGAGTGAGAATGAGAGAATGGAGAGGCTTGAAGTCATTTGCATATGAATCTTGGTAGTTTGATGAGCGTTTAACTGAAAACATTTAGAATTATTACATGTGTGGTGTGGTGTGTGTGTGTGCAGAGCAATGATCTGTTTCCGTCCAGCACATTTTGCACTGGCAATTGAATTTGTCTTTTAACTTTTTTTCGCGTATTCCTTACAGCACTGCTATTTTAGTCTCCATTTGTTTCTATCTTTTCTCCTCTCCCAAGCACCATTAATGCGAGAATTGAGTGAGATGAGACTCTGAAATGGATAAAATACGCGAATAAAATATTTTTCTTTATGACCATTATTTTGCTACTAATGATGAAGAATAATTTTCGATTCTAAGTCCCACCATTGAAAACTGGAGATATTGTTTGAATCAAAGGAATCAAGCTCAATGGAAATAGGAATATTGGAGAAGAATGCAGGCATAAACATATTTTTTTAACATGAATTTTGTTTAATAAAAATTGTAAGAAGTTGATGGTATTGATTGGCAATGCTGACGAATCAAGGCCATGATAGGCAAATCCAACCCCATCCCTTGAGCAAGGATGAAGAGTCTGTCAAAATGCAACATTGCAACATACAACATATGCTTGTTTTTATTGTTGCTCTTGGTGGTTCTCTCTTCGGCACTCTTCTTTCTGATCCCTGTGACCCATCAAATGAGTTGGACGCCACAAGCCCTCAGAGCAGATCAAATCACCTGTCCTATTAATGGATACTCCGAGTCCGCATCGGCGCTCCTCCAAACATTGCTGCCACATACTCTGCTCCCCGCTGTATCCTCTGGCTGGTCTTGGGGGAACCCCTTCCACTCCGCCAAACACTGGGACGCCCCACTTGGCCTCATAATCTCTCCTCTCTAACTTGGCATGGGCAAACCATCACCCTGTACGCCAACCTTCAAGCAGCCTCAATGACCGCTTCCTCCCTAGATCATCATTAGGAAACACAAGCTGTCTTGATTTGCGACGATGATGTGGAAGTTGATCGTAAGTCTTTGACTTCGCATTTCAGATTTGAAGATTGAATCCTAACCGACTAGTTGGGCTTCTTTCCTCAGATCACATGATCTCTGATTTGTTATTCAAAGGAAGTGGAAATTTTACACTGTGCATACAGATAAGTACTCGATTGTGGCCTCACAAAGTTCATGATTTTTGAAAAGCCAGTATTGTTCGAGTACAGTTGCAAGGGGGGCCTAACATACAAAATGAGGAGAATTGTCGATCAGATGCAGAACTGTGAAGATATACTGATGAATTTTTGGTGTTGGCTGATAGACAAATTGCAGACTATATGTGGTGGCAGATAAGGTTAGGGATTGGGGAGATGCCTCGTAACGAATGACAATAAACAATGGGCTGGATTGAAATGCAGGAGGGAGCAAGGTACAGCAGCGGGGTTGAGCAGTAGGAAAAAGGGAGCAATAGGAAGATGGGAGAGGAACAGTGGCATAAACAGAATTCACAGTGTTAGGAAGAAGCCATTGAGGTATAATTATGGAAAAATAGTTTAATTCAGTTGGTGAACAAGGACTGTGCAATGAATGGGGGCAAGTTGGTCTTGCGCGATAGATACGGCAATGATTTTTTTTTTTCATATGTCCAAAGAAATAATTTGTTCAAACTGAATTTCATTTCCCATTTAAAATTCTCTAATATATCAAAAAAAAGTTTAGCATGTTGCTTGTAATGTACAGAAACAAAAGAAATTTGTCAGGCAAAGCAAATAGCTAAAGATGATAATTTTATTCTTTCAAAGACAAACTTATAATTATTTGCTCTTCACTTGCTATGATTCAATATATGTATACAATTTTAAACTTTGAACTATTGTAATTATAAGTGGATCTATTGTTTGATTATGTAAGATCATCGTAGTAAATTATTAATCCATTGGTCTATAATATTGATCTCAGTATTTCTTTGTGCGACAACCACTCTGGATCCGTTGTTTTGTTCGCTTTGAAGTATTGTCTAAGGCAATGAGAACCTGCAATATACAAACTTTTTCTGTATTAATAACATCTCCAAAAAAAAAATAAAAATGCATATATTACTTTTCTAATTTCTGAACCAATTACAAAATTTTCTTTTTTATGCCATTTTGCACTATTCTTAATGTGTGAGAGAAATTATTCCTTAATTCCAGGATTTTATAGCTGCGGCTTTTCATAGAGTCTTTTTTACGAATCGAGCTTCTCACATAGTGGAAATTGACTGTTGAGTATTTTTACGAATCATTTAATAGTTTTGTTTTTTTTTTTGTTAAAAACGAAGATGTAATTTCCTCAAAGCCAATGAGAATAATTAATAATATTGAATAATTTTAGAGGCTAAATTCAATATTTTGATTTATTAGTGTAAGAATTGAAGCAGAATATTTTTAAATATAATTCATTATTTAATAATCAAATAGACCAAACTTATCTATAAAATAAATAACTGAAATTAAAAATGAAAATGTATGGTGGGTTTCAATTAAAGTTTACAATATTTGTTGTATAGACTTGAAAGCATACCTTCGCTTGTATAGACAAGCACAATAGTGTCTGATATGTTCGCAACACCCTATAATCAGAGAACAGAATCGTGTTTAAAATAAAAAAAATATTGGAATTCTCCCTAACTAGTACGTTTTCCAAAGAGAAAAAAAAAATATTTTTAAATATTTTTTAGTAGAAAAAATTAAACAAATCCATAAAATAAAATGTTAAAACACGAATTCTCTGTTTTAAGATTTTATTTACCCGCCACTACTATAAGGATCTCTTAAATCCTTGGAGAAATGAATGTTGCTACAAACCTCTGCAGAATGACGTTTTTATACCTGCAATTGGCAAAAAAATTAAATGATTAAACTATAGTAAAATTTAATATCTTGGATGTTGGAATGTGAATTAATTAAAGCGAAATATATAATTAATTAGGGAAAATTGGGATTTAAAAAGGAAAATTAAATAATTATCCTAAGGTAGCTGGCTTAGATTTGGTTGAACTAATTTAATATATAAATAAATTAAGAAAATAAAATAATTAACATACATTGGCCTCCATAATAGGTAGTGACCCAACGGGGCCTTGCGGTACGCCGTAGGATGCCTTGCAGTCTTGAACGTAGGCATTGAGATCAAAAGATCAGGTGGAAAACATTGTATCATTGCCAGCCCAATTGGTATTCACCATCTCGCTAACATGTCTAAACCTCCCCTATTTCTATTAATCAATTCCCTCTTCTATGATTTAATTAATATAATTACATAATTAAAAATTTCTCAATAATTCAATATACATGTCTTATTCAATGCAGAATCCTTAACCTCTGAAAGATTAATTAGCACTACGATGGAAAGTGATAGAAAGTGGGGGAATAGAAATAATAAGTAAACGGCCAGAATTCGAGAGTTTGATTAAATACCTGCCACTTCCGCAAACCCACAGATGTTTCAGATACATTGGTGGGTGAATTAATATAGGCAAGTTCTTGTTTCCTACTATAAGCAACAACACCGCCAAATATTTTTTGCTGAGTGTATCATTCCATCACTATCAGTATTGCTTTCCATCTATGCCATTGCAGACCACTGTCACCGGATATTTCTGGGTGGCTGATTGTACTGAGCAGCACCAACTATACATTGTGTCAAGTAATCTTTGGAACTTCATCCACAATCGGTTAATGGTCTAGGAAAAAAACAAGAAATATTAAGCAGAATAATAATTGATAAATTTACAAAAGAATAATATATATATATAATATATATAAGAAAAATTTTGGGTGATGTTCCACAAAAATAGTTTGTTTTTAAGTTATTGTAGCTGTTCTAGTTATAAAACATATTTTAACTGGCATTTCATCAAAACGTGAAGATAACGTTTCATAATTTACATCACACCAACGGCGGAATTTGAAAAAAAATATAGAGGGGAATGAAAAAAAATTTTCAACAGTTAGAGGTGAAAATTGAAAACAGTTTCATATTTTAAGATAAAAATATAAACAATTTATATGCTTTATAAGGTAATTTTAGAAAACTTTTAACCATTAAGGGGCAAGGTTATTGCCTAGCCATACTTTAGTTCCACATTTGCATCATATAAAGTTATAAAATAAATACTTCCTTCTGTGCTCATTTTTGTTTGCTTGTTATTTCTTTTTTTTTTATGTACTAAATGTTTAATAAGTTTTTTAAATTTCCTATTTAAATATTATTTTTCTCATAAATAAACTTTATGATTGTTCATTAGGTTTTTATTAATAATTTTAATAAGTTAAATGGTAAAAATGGCAAAATAATTTTTATTGACTAAATTCTTAACATGCGTGTGTTTATCAAATCAATACAAATAAAATGGGACAAAGTTAATAGTAAAGACACTAAAAGTTATATTAAACGGATGTGCGAAAAAGGCATAATTAATTATAATGAATTAAGACTTGTGTTAGATTATGAAATTAAGTTAATAAATATGGATCAGAATACTTTATCGATCCAATAACTATATTTATTATATAAATATTTTATAAAATAACAAATATAACGTGTATTTTTACTTATTAGTGGAGGAAATTATACTTGCAAGTCCTTGAAATTTCTTGCCTGAGGATTTGCAAGGCCATGTAGGTTGAGAAGCAGTTGATCAATTTCCTGGCCTATGATTTTTTTGTATTGTCTGAATAGCAACTTCAGCTAGCCTTCCTGCATAAGTAATCAATTATTCATCAATCAACCTTTGCATGTGAATGGTGATGTAACATCTACACATTAAATGGACAAAACATTAATTAAAAAAGATTAATTACATTTAAATCAGTATCCAAAAACCACTGTAATTGAAAATCAAGAAAAATTATCTTGCTGATTAGAAAATTTTCAATATATAATACCAAAATTCAAGAACTTACAAACCTTGTAATCTTTGTGCAAGAGAATAGTATCCATCCCTCGGAGTGATATCATCAAAGTAAAGAATTGGTGCTGATGAGGCCAAAGCTCCAAGTGCTATGTGAGGGTACTTAAGACGAAACCATGAAGCCAGCACTGAAACACAGAAAAACGAAATGAGTTTGATTGACCTAGACTAGGTTTACGAGTCCATTTATGAATCAAATCAACTTTTCATTGAAACGATGATATTTTTGAACATTTATTGAAAGAAAAAGGATAAACTAAAAATTATTTTGAAAAATCTCATCGTTGCACCCCTATTCTTAAAAATTTTTTTATCCTCCTAATTTCAAAACCTGTTATATACTTTCAATCAAACATTAATAATAATTTAAATAAATAAATAAAAACATAAAAAATTATTAAATATGACAGGAACAGGAGCATGTTGTATCACTATATTACGAGATGTATTATAAGTCTTTCATAATTGATGAGTAATACTTAATAATTTCTTGTATACGCATACATGTACAGGCACCTACTTCCACCATATGATCCTCCGATGACGATGACCGGAGAATTTTCAGCGTCAAAGGTTTTCTTTACATGAAGTATAATCTCTGCATAATCTGCAAGAGCTTGAGCGGAATTGAAATATCCCCGAACACTAGCATTTTTCACAGCTTCTTCTTGTGAACCAAATGGGATTGACTTCCCATAAAACCTGTGCTGATAAATTTTTAAAAGAAATATATAAATATATATTTATATTAATCGCAAATATTAATATATAATCTAATCCCTCAAAGAAGTTAAAATCATTAATTTGTACCTCTATATATACCAAGAGAGCTTTAAATTTAATAGCATTATCAGAAAGAAAACCAATAATAGAAAGATCACCATCAAGAGGTGCCTCTGCACCAAAATATACGAAAATTGGTGCATAATTAGAATTAGAACCGCCCCAGTACTTAGAATTTATTACATATCGTTGCTGAAAGGTACTGTAGCTTTCAGGGTTATAATTGAAATGATCAAGTGTTTGGTTGTAGAAATATGTCTCCAAATCATCAGAGAGTGATGATTCAGATAAACTTTCAGGGTCTTCTAAAGAAATTCTTGGTCCTATTGGGCTAAGTCTTGGTATATTAAATTTTTTTGAAGTTGCAGAAGTTAAGAGAATGAAGAAGAAGAAGAAGAAGAACAGAAACCATTGGAATAGACATTTCGAAGACATCGTAATGTTGCTTCTAGAATATCTATTTGTTCCCAAGGTTTTACTTGTGAAATAAAGTATTTACAAGGAGCATATTTATAGATAGGCATGGCAACGGGTTCGGTTCTAACAGGAACTGTACTGTAGACGAATCGGAATCGGACTGAAACCGGCGGTTCATAATTTTGAACCGGAACCGGCGGTTCAAAGGCTGGTTAAGGTTCATGTGAATGTTAAAATAAAAACCGGAACCGGCGGTTCCGGTTCGGTTCGAACCGGATGCACAAAAAATTGTAGCTTAAAATTTTTATAAAAAAATTTATATCGCTTGATTTGATTGTAGTTGATTTGATTTATGAAGAGAGTAAAATGGTACATCAGTTATGAAAAGAGTTGAAGAAAAAAAATACACATTTTTGACTAACTTATATAAAATGGTACATGAATAGTTTGCTTTATCATATAAATAAAACTTTTCTAAATGTACAAAAAAAGAGGCAACGGATAGATTTTTTTATGATAGGGTGTTTTTTATTTTTTTTTGTAATAAATTATTCATTTTATTTATCTTGAATTTACTGTAATTTACTAAATATCCAAAAATAACGTTGTTATTTTTTGCTGTACTAGGGACAAGATTTGGAAAATGCTAATAATGAGAACAGTGTATAACTACGATATGAGTTGATGATTTTTTATTTCACAATCAATTATATCCTAACTCTTCTCTTATTCTCAATCAAAATTCTCTCAAATTTCTATAGTTCATTATTTCTTCTATTGCTTTATTTTCCTTAATATTGGAATTATCTATTGTTTATTTTTTATTTTCTTACATCCAATTCCAATTCTTTCTCTAATCTCAAATTTTTCCATTCATAAATTTACTTCATTTGATTTTTTAAATACTTTTCTTAGTATTTGAAAATAATAATTTCCAACTCATTCCATTAATTTTATATTCCATTTATAGTTTTTTATATTAGTAAATTAGCAAGCAAAATTTGTAAGATTTATAGTGTATATAATAGTTCAAGTTAGTTAATAGAAGTTTTTCTTTTAAAATTTATAATAATTCATGCTAGTAATAAAAATCTTAAACATTTACAATTATTTATTTATCATGAATTGGAAATCAAAAATTTATTATTTTTTTTAACCTTTATTATTTTTTTTAAAATTTGCGTAATGACGGAACCGAATCGGAACCGTAATTTGAATTGTCGGTTCGCCGGAACCGTGCTAAACCGTACCGGAACCGAAACCGGAACCGGAGGTTCAAGGGTCGGTTTCGGTTCAAAATTTTAAAAATTTCGAACCGGCGGTTCACTGAACCGGCCATGCCTATTTATAGACCAACAGTTGCTTATTTGCTTATATTTTTTGCATAAAATTATTTTACTTAAATCTGGGTGTAAAAACTCGGTCAATCTGATAATGACACACTACAAAAAATTAACAATCAAAACCCAACTTTAAAATATAGGTATTAAGGTTTGAAGGCCTAATAAATTGCAAAAAAATCTCGAAATCTTTGCACAAGCGATATGAGATAAAAAATTTAAATAAAATATCTCAAGGTCTTTTCATAGACAATATGAGATAGAGAATTTAAATGGAGTTTTTAGAAGAATGCTCTAAAATGAAAAAAAAAAAATTATAACTCATTTTCATATATTGGCTAGACATGTAGAATGACCTCATGCACTTGTGTTTGTGTAGATAAAAAGTTTCCACTGTTTTAGCTTTAATGATGAATTGGTGGTGGTGCTATTACAGGATGGGTGGGCAGTGGGCTACATCATGTTCATATAGAACACATTATTGTATTTTGAGTGGAACAACATGCGCTGAACCAAGTTAATAATTTGTAGTGGTTTCTTATTTTCTAATTTAAGTGCTGAAGTGATAAAAAGCTGCCAATGGATGGGTGGTTAATCTTTTTACTTATATGATGGGAGGATTATCTTTATTGTGTACCTATAATATTGTTTTAGTTGGTTGAGCTCGCCTTCAAAATCTAAAAATTTATTGCTTTTAACTAATAAATATAACAATTTTTATCTGTTTTAGTAGATCTAAATTAGGAAATAACTTTGTCCTGGTTTTGGATATAAATTATAATATATCCCACTAATTAACTACTTATTCTTATTAAGGATAAAGCTAAGCACTAACTACTTATCTCTGTTTTTATAATTTGTATTTCTGATCTCCTTTATATACGCCTATCTTATATATAGGTTAGTTAAGTTATTAGTCTTGATATATAGTATAATAGTTGTGAACTATATAAGAATCATATTCTTCACATGGTATCAGAGCCATTCTAAAACTCTAACGAGTCGTTCCTGATCCAACCTATCTCTTCTTTTTATTTCTTCTTTTCTCATGGCTTTCGCATCAAATAGTTTGGTCATTCAATTGAATGCTCCGACTCACTTTCCTATTAAACTCACACAGGAAAATTTTCCAATTTGGCGGAAGCAAGTTCAGTCTACTCTGATTGGACTCGATCTTCTTGGGTTTGTTGATGGTTCACGGGTTGCAGCATCCAAATTTCTTAATGATAAAGACAAATCAGCCAACCTAGATTATTTACTTTGGTTTCGACAAGATCGAATTCTTGTTAGTGCTCTTTTGGGCAGTTGTTCAGATGCAATTCAGCAGTTAATTTTGTCAGCTGATTCGGCTAAGGAGGCATGGGATCGTCTCCATCAAAGTTGTGCTAATGTTTCTAGATCTAGGGTTTTATCTCTCAAAACCAAGCTCATTCAAAATCCTAAAGGAGATAAGCCTGTTGCAGCTTTTCTTAATGAAATGCGAGCCATCGCAGATGAACTGGCACTCACACAGAATCCGATCAGTGATGATGATCTAATTGTTCATATAATTACACAGTTAGGGGATGATTATGCTCCAATTGTTGCTGCACTGAAAGTTCGTGAAACCGCTATTTCGTTCCCTGACTTGTTTGAGAAACTTACAGATCATGAGAGATCCTTGAAAACCAGTGAGCAACCCATTGCTCCAGCTATTGCTACTGCTATTATACACAAAGATCTAGAGCTGGAGGTCACAATCGTGGCTCTAATACACGCAGAGGTCGTGGTAGTTATAATGGGAATAACTCGCGTAATTCCCAATATAACAGTCGGGGTACTTATCGCTCGAATATTGTTTGTCAATTTTGTGAGATTATAGGGCATGCAACAGTTGAATGCCGCAAGCTTGCAAGGTTTCTTAAAGAGAATAATATGGTTGTTCGGACAGAATCGTCTACCTCTTCAGTGGCACCTCCTTCAGTTAATGCTACTTCTGCCATGACTTCTTCATCGCCACAGCAATGGCTTTTTGACAGTGCGGCATCTCATCATGTAGTTTCTAACCCTTCTTCTTTACAGGGCTATACAGATTATGGTGGACCAGATGAAATTCAACTAATGTTCCGAACTTGGTGAGGTAAACATCTTGCGTAGACACCATACTGATTTGCACTCTTCCGGGCTGATCTACATATTTATCTCTCTGATGTGTTTTTGTACCAATTGGCACAAAAATTTGATTTCCTATTGCAATGAGTCGGACTGAACATGTTTCTGTGGATTCTTTCCAACTTTTTTGTGTTGTGAAGGATCTGCGCACGGGGGCGTACTGCTACGAGGCCAGAATATGGATTACATTTTTGTGCTCAACTTTTCTCATGTCATTCCAGTTCACACTTGGCAACTACAGCTCGGTGTGTCTTCTCTTTCTCTTGGCAATCATAAGCTTGTCATCTCTAATATTTTTTAGTATTAGCGCTCTTAAACGTATGGGTTATGATTCCATTGTTTAGAGTCTGTTTCATTCATTGTGTTCTTGTTCAAGTGAAGTAAAAGGCCATAAATGCCTTTTTCAGAAAAACTTACAGACTAAACCTTGCAACTTGTTGATTCTGATGTTTGGGGACAACAAAAAATCCCATTGATGTTATGTATTAGTCACATTCAATGACCACGTTACGTAAATATACCGTGGCTATATCCATGAGAAAAAAAATCAGATACACTGAAATTATTTATTCATTTCAAAACTAGTAGAGAGATATTTTCAAACCAAAATAAATCAGTTGTTTTCTTAATTGATAAGGATACAGTGAATAATGGCGGTGAATATCAAAAATTACAATCGCATTTTCTATCTTGTGGTATTTCTCACTATACATCGCCGCCACACATTCCCGAACATAATGGAACCGCTGAAAGACGACATCGATTTATTGTTGAAACCGGTCTCTCTCTATTACATTTTGCATCTTTGCCTCCTGAATTTTGGTCTTATGCATTTCTTGCAGATGTCTATCTAATAAATCGTTTACCATCATCTGTTCTTTCTTTTGCGACACCATTTTTCTAGTTATTTGGTCGGTCTCACAATTCTAATCGTCTTAAATCTTTCGGCTGTTTGTGCTTTCCTTGGCTGCGTCCTTATGTCAGTTCCAAATTGCAATCTCGGTCACAACCTTGTATATTTTTGGGCTACTCTTCTACACAATCTGCTTATAGCGACAATCTAGCTTATAGTGGTTATGATCTCACTACAAAGTGTATCTCTCTCGGCCATGTTAAATTCGTCGAGCATTTATCCCTTCAAATTGCACCTAATTGCTTAGTCAAAGTTTACAATGTTATTGTTCAGATGTTCACCGCGCAGGTGTTGACACAACAACTGACAACTATCGATGTCATGGTTGATCAGCTGCCAGTCCCTGATACTATCACTCCAGATCTGCAGTTGTTGTCAACTCCAGCTCCTGAACAGCAGCAACAAGATGTTCTACTTCAATGCTGTCTTCCCGCTGAAGATGTCGTCCTCCACATGGTATGTCCTACTTCCCAATTCAACTGTCTCACTGTATTGTGCCTTTGGTTGCTACTGATTGTTTTCTTAGTTTCTGTGCATTACATTTGGTTGTTGGTTCTCGGTCTCAACGTCAATCGAAACTTATACGTACTAATGAATTCTTTCTGTGAATGTTCACAACTAATATCCCATACGAGCTTCTGTTTGAATTCGAGAAC